AGTATGTCGTGACAATTGCTCTCTTTGCTACTCAAAAAGGCCATTGACATATACCAATCATCATAAAGGATATGCGGGTAAACAAGCATTTCCAGCAATAATTTTCAGTACATGAAATCTTTACAGGAAACATGTATTTTCCAAATTCTATAATGAGTAATAACCTAGGTTGCATGGGTACGGTTAAGGGTACTGGTATAGAATGTGAACATTGTGAACATTGTGAAGTGTAGAATATACATCCAAAAATTACATGAGCTTTTCAAATTAAAACATGCATTAGTGAGTATAGAATAAACATATGCATATATTCAAGAAGTGTCCAAGAGGTTTGGGTACATGTATGTGTTGGGTACGGGTACGGCTTCCTAATAGAAGTACGCAGGTAACATAGGTAATAACTGATCTCATTAAAAGCTTTGTAAAACCCCATCAAACTATTAAAAGAAATAGAAAATTGTAGAATGCTCGGTGAACTGTGGTGCTTACCTTTTGACAATTTTTAAATGTATTCAGTTTTACTGCAGGGATCAATCAAAACTGGAAATCATCAAATTATAGCATGGGTGAGAAAAAATCATGATTAGGTAAAGCTTAAGAAATAGAACCTTATTGCCTCTCAACTAAATGACCAAAATTTTGGTCTACAAGGCCAAAGGCACATAGGTCGTTACAATTCACAATAACATCCTGAAAGCAACCAAACACAAGATTAAAACTGGATTATCTACTCAGCTCCCCTTAGCAACAAGTCATTGTTCTCAAATCTAATTTAATCAGGTTGCAATCGCAGCCAATATTTGTTCATGTAGATCACAACACAAGTGCAGTATAAACCAACCCTTCCTCTATGGTGCCCTGTATATGTGCTACGCTATCTGCCAACTTAGGTATTAGGCCAAGACCAGTTCCACCACCTAGCCTTCTAGTTGATAAGAAAAACCTCCTACTTTTAGTTATCATTCAAAATTAGAGTTCTATTTCATAAGGTTAAGAAGTAGCTAATGGACTAAATTAAAGTATTCAATTAAAAGTACAAAAAAAGAAGAAGTATTGCGCTAGAGGAAGGGCTTGAACCTTCGACCTTGTGGTTAACAGCCACACGCTCTAACCAACTGAGCTACTCCAGCTGACTGTTCTGTTTAAGAACATTATATTTTCATGGAAGTATTTGTAATTCTCTGCCCTCACAATGATCCAACATCCATTAAAGCTAAAAACAATCATGAGAGCAACAAAATTTGACGGGTGCAGTCTTGTTATCATAAAAGTGAATCTCAATTTGGCGAATTTCTGAAGGTGGAGAGTTAAAATTATACTCGAAACTATTCTCTTTCTTGGAGTCTGCAACAACTCTAATCAAACATCTTCATCATCGAAGCCAAACAACAAACTACAATCTTCAAAATTATCTTCAGGTAGATACTAGTTAAACTTCAATACAGACACAATTTGAAAAAAGAAAAGAATGAAAGAAAGAGGAACAGAGTGAGTGTAGAGCTCTTCTGTACAGCCTAGTTTTGGCTGAGAGAAATGCCCTCTCCATGTTGTAGGTTCTATGTGCCTCGCCAATCGTTAACAAATAAGAAGTCCAACCAAAATACAACTATTGGTGATCTATAGAAAGAGTTAAAGAAGTGGCGACTATATGCTTAGTTGAAGAAAATGTACATTGTCGGTCCTTCACTTATTATGAGCATATATTAATTTTTGGACATCTTAAGACTGAAGAATGAATAGGGTCTCGGTCCTTCACTTATTATGAGCATATATTAATTTTTGGACATCTTAAGACTGAAGAATGAATAGGGTCATGTAATATGAGAACTTCTACAGACAGTTGCAAAACGCGAGTGCCGCTTGCATTCTCCATAGACGGACGGGTGACACATGTCCCCAAATCTAAACCCAGCCTTAAACCAAAACTAACCCCAACCCTTCCCTAGTATATTTCGCACAATTGTCAACCAGCAGTCGCGAAAAGCGACTGATGTTAGACTTTTTCCACATAATATTGTATTTATTACTCTCTTACGTAAACTTCACTGCCAATTTATAACCATTTAATGCAACATTCAATTTTAAAACTAAAAAAGATTTTCATACATAGCAACAATTTATAACCATTTAATGCAACATTCAATATTAAAAGCTACAAAAATTTTCCATACATGTCGTGCTCCAAAACCAGTTCTTTCTGCTGTGCAGGTTATTTCAGCATGTTATAAAAACTTTAGTGCTATATGGAACCAAACCTCAACTCTGCCGGTTAGTTCTTTCGCATCAACATATATTAAATTATATATCTCCAGCTGAATTTTATAAAACACAACCACAACTCACACAGAATCTAAACAAAAAAAAAGCAAGAAAACATTTTCAAGAAAATAAGTGAAAAAATTACCAGGGTTTATATAAGAAAAGTTAAAACATATTTCAATCTGTTGTAGAAAACGCGGAACACATTGTGCTACCGCCGAGCATCTGGTCACTGAGTGACACGATCTCGACCTAGGAAACCCAAGATTTGAATTTTGAAGAAAAAAGACAGCATCTGGTCACTGAGTGACACGATCTCGACCTAGGAAACCCAAGATTTGAATTTTGAAGAAAAAAGACAAGACACTTGAACATGGGTGGTGTTGATGCACCTAGGAAACCCAAGATTTGAATTTTGAAGAAAAAAGACAAGACACTTGAACATGGGTGGTGTTGATGCTCTGCCATGGAGTACCCTAAACTATTATTTGAAAGGGCTTTTTCTTAAACACGATGTTCCCCATAATGACCCTAAAATTTGAATCCAGCACAGAATTAGAGACTTGGTTATGACTATGATTATGATTGAACTGTAGAAAAACACCACATCGACCCTAACAATCTTCTCAGCTGTCTTCTTCTGTTGCTTGGCCTTTCCCTCGTTGAATAATGAGCTCGTCATCAAGATTGTACACAAGCCTCTTCTACAAAACTTCTCAGTTTAAACAAGAAAAAAATCATAAGTCATTCCCGAGAAACTATAATATAACTTTTACCTCATCAGCTTCAGATGTGAAGGTTCTTGTAGGTCTGCATGAACACATCAAAGAAGGCAAGATAGACAATAGGCTCTCAAAAATTTCAGGTTGATATTTTTTTTTTAGAAACCATGCATGTCTAGGTACCGACCAAAGGCTTCCTGTGACTCATGAACATAAGAAATATAATAAACGTTAACACTATTCTAGTAATATAAGATAGATGATATGAAGTACGAACTTAGAGGACGGGCAATATGAGGAAATAATTTAACTATGTGAATTCTAATTTATCTTCTAATTTATAGTAATAAGCATTAAAATACTATCTGAACGTAACACAAGATACTTCCAGTCCTGAGCTATTTTGGAATATATTAGAGGATAAACATTTGTCTAAGGCCCTAAACCTTACCGTGCATGCCAGCATGACCCTACATGCAAAATCAAAAAAAAAATCCTGCAGGAAATAAGATACATGTATCACATGGATCTCCCAAATAAAGAATCCATTGCAACCAATCCTCAAATTTTAGACTGCTTCAGGAACATGATTGTCAATTTTATAAACAACAAGAGTACTCAATAATGTTTGTCCTAGATAATCAAATTTCACATCGAGCAACACCATCCTCCTCAACAGAAAAGTGACTATCTACAAGTGACACAGACACGAGTCTCGTATTCGTCATGGTCATTGGACCTTAGAAATGATAGTTGACAAAATCTACATACAGTCATGGATACATTCATATGAACTTATGTATGTGACTTAATATGAAGATTGTTATTCATATTTGAACAAAATTTGAATTTAGTAAAAAGATCTCGAGATAATGAGCTCCAGCCAAAAGGAGCATATATAATTCATCTCGCATCTCAAGGTGAGTGATGACTAACATATTTATAAGTGTTAAACTTGGATGCGCACACATATTGACCAGAACAAACCAATGAGGTAGACTGAAAACATAGGTTAAAATAATAAGTAAACAGTTAATGGGATAGATGAAAGTATTAAATTAAGGAACAAACAAAACAAGCGATGCGCTGGAGGAAGGGCTTGAACCTTCGACCTTGTGGTTAACAGCCACACGCTCTAACCAATTGAGCTACTCCAGCTGATTGGTCTGTTCAAAAACATTTTATTTTCATAGAAATATGGGTAATCCTTCTGCCCTCAGAATGATCCAACATTCAGTGAAGCTAAAAACAATCATGTAAGCAACAAAATTTGATGTGCAGTCTTGTTATCAAAAAGTGAATCTCAATTTGACAAATTTCTAAAGGTGGAGAAATAAAGTATACCCCAACTCTTTCTTGAAGTCAGTGACAATTGTAATCAAGCACCTTCATCCTTGAAACCAAACAACAAAATCTGATCTCTTTAAATTGTCTTGAGGTAGATAAACTACAGTATATACACAATTAAAAAAGAGAAAGGAACGAAAGAAAGAGGAACGGAGTGAGTGTGTGGCTCTCTCAGATAGCCTAGTTTTGGCTGAGAGAAGTGCCCTCCATGTTGGAGGTTCTGTGTGTCCCACCAATCATTAACAAAGGAGTCCAACAAAAGTACAACTAATGTTGAGCTATAGAAAGAGTTAAAAAGGAGTGGTGACTATAAGCTCAGTTGAATAATACCTTGTCAGTCCTTCACTTATTATGAGCCTATATTTATTTTTGCACATCTTCATAATGAAGAGGACAATGTAATATGAGGAAGTCTAGAGACAGTTGCAAAACGCGACTAGCGCTCACCCTTCGCCATAGATGGGTGACAAATGTCTGGGTCCCCAAGTCTCAACCCAACCTTAAACCCAAAACTAACCCAACCCTTCCCCGAGGTGACAAATGTCTGGGTCCCCAAGTCTCAACCCAACCTTAAACCCAAAACTAACCCAACCCTTCCCCGATATATTTTGCACACATGTCCATCAGCATCAACCCAACCTTAAACCCAAAACTAACCCAACCCTTCCCCGATATATTTTGCACACATGTCCATCAGCCGTCCCGAAAAGCAACTGATGTTAGACTTGTTCTGTGTAATATTGTCTCTATTGTTCTCCTATGCACACATAACTACCAACTTATAACCAATTAATGCAACATTCAGTTTTAAAAACTACAAAAAGATTTTCATACATAGTAACAGTTTATAACAAGTTAATGCAACATTCAATTTTGTATACAACAAATTTTTGCAACATTGTAATAATTTTCTTTAGTAGTATTATAGAATTTGCATACCTCGCCACTAAATTTAACAGCTAACTTTTCCTTAAGACATCCACTAAACTTCTCGATCACATCTACAACTTGTGCAGAAGGATGTTGCCGACAATACTCGTGAATCTAAACAAAGAAGCAAGAAAATATTTTCAGTTAAACAACTATAAACAAACATTCCTAGGGTTGGAGGAAAAGTTAAAACAATCTCTTTCAATCTCTCATAGAAAGCCTGAACACATTTGTGTCGCCGCCAAATGTGTGCCCTCTGAATGCAGTGATCTCGTCCTTCCTTGTGCCGTTCTTGTCATCGTATATAGATACACTAATTTAATTGAGATGTAAGTGATGATGATGTGAGATGATGACATGGAACTGCCATCAACAAGTGAGGGTGGAATATCCAATGAGTGTATACTCCAAGAGTACGACCTCACTGTACCAAAACCATGACAAAAGCTACAATTAGGTGCCTAATGAGTGTATACTCCAAGAGTACGACCTCACTGTACCAAAACCATGACAAAAGCTACAATTAGGTGCCTAATTTAAAGTGGAAAAAAGAAAATTAAACAGCTGTACCAAAACCATGACAAAAGCTACAATTAGGTGCCTAATTTAAAGTGGAAAAAAGAAAATTAAACAGCACTACATCAAAACCTTTTACCAAAAACTGAAATCATGTGATGACATGCGTTATTAGTTGAATACGCATACCGTGCATAACTCTAGAATTTACCATATATGCTATGTCCATCATCGTGTAAAAATGGACCAAATTAAGCATTTCGTCACACAAAAAAAAAAATCACACAGTCAGCTTAAACTCTTAACCACCATCCTCATTTTCTGACTTGCATGAAAGAAGAGCCATTAAGAAGAGAACTCAAGAGTCTTTTGCAGTCAATTAATCATGAAGGGTATTCATTTACCAGGACAAATATCTAAAATTCGACAGAACATCAACCAAAATCTAAAATTTTGCAGTCAACTAGAGAAAACCCTAGCTTTCGGACCACGAGGGGTACCTAAGATAGGAGCCGACTCTTGAGTGAGCTTCTCCTCTTCAATCTTCTCCGCATCCTAACTTCTCCGCTGAATAAAATAAAAATAAAAGGAGAACAACGTCAACCGAAACAATTCCGAAGTCTTTAGAACGAAAAAAAAAAAAGGGGCACAGAAACTGGAATTAGTGCTTTTACCTGCAGAGATTGAAGGATCGAACTGAACCCGAGATAAAGTAATTCGATCTAGCTAATTTCAGCAGTTAGGGCTTTCTACCAAAACCCTAGGGAAATTCCCGCAGCGGAGAAAATTGGACCGAACTTTACCGCAAACAGAAAGGACATCGATCTCACTTCAGCTACCAAAGAGCTATTTATAGGCGGAAAATGAGATTTTTCAGTGGGCGTTATATTTACGCGACACGGCAAAATACAGCGTTTATTTCACGCGTATATCTTACACGCTATTTTTTTTAAAGCGTGTATATTACACGCGTATATCCTACGCGTATATTCTTACGCTCTTTTTACCGTGTCGGTCTCCACTTTTTGCTCATATAAATACGCGTGGTTTTTTCGATTCCTTGCCGTTTATTTCCTATTTTTATATTTCTTATGAGGGAATTTTAGCTTTCATATCTGATTAGAAGAAATTTTCTAAACAAACTCATTCATAATTTTTTTTTTAAAATAGGCCCCATTAAGTTTTCTTTACAAAAATCGACTCATTTTGTCTAAATCATGTTTCTAGGCAACCCCGACTAATTAGGGCATAGTATGTTAGTGTTTAGGGTTATAATTGGGGGTTTACAACCTTCTAAATAGTCGGCCCTAAACACTAACATTCTATGCACTAAATAGTCGGGGTTGGCAACCTCGACTATTTAGGAACCGGATTAAAATAAAATGGGTGTATTTTTGTAAATAAAACTCAAGGAGGTCTATTTTTAGAAAAAAATATATGAATGAGTTTATTTAGAAAATTTCTTCTATCTGATTAATATTTTCGTTGATATCTGATCTTTTTCGTCCCACGGTTAATCACGTCGCTGTCATGGGTTATTACAAATGATTTTGCTATTTTTTGTTGAAATTGCTCCTTTCCCCTCATTTCTTTGATTTTGTCTAGTTGACTTTAACTTTAGGGGTGTTATGTAATATATCAAGTGATTAAAAGTTAAACATTCCCTTTCTTTTATTATGTGAAGCTTCTTTTTTTTAGTTATTTTGGTAGTATTTTTTAGGGTTATTTACATACATACCCCTTAAATCATAGTTGTGTTCAAAAACACCCTCCACAATCTCAGTATCTGTAAAACTACCCCTAGAATCATCGATTTTGAAAAATTACCCTTAAAGCAATTAATCATCAATTTTGATAAGCTAATTTATTATCATAATTAAAAATTATCAAGAAAATAGTAAAAAATTTAGAACAAAGTTGATGATTTGTTAATTTTAGTGGTATTTTTTCACAAAGCTAATTATTGAGGGTTAGTTTTACAAATACTGATATGTGTGAGTATTTTTATAAATACCCATGATTGAAGGGGTATATATGCAAATAAATCTATTTGGGTTTAGAAATCAATCAAGGTAAGACTTTTTGGTCTGAAAATAAAAAGGGAAAAATGTATCCAGACCCAGCCCCTCATAGTTTTTCCCATGTGCTTTAACCCAAAAAACTCCCAAAAAATGTTGTCTGGCCCCTTTCACACTCTCCCAGAAATTTTTTGGGACAGCTTTTCGAAAATACCCTCCCCCTTTTCTTCTTCTTTCTTCTTCTTCTCATGTGTCTTTCTCCTCCTCCTCCTCCCCTTTCTCCTCTTCTTCTCTCCTCCTCCTCTCCCCTCTCTCTTCTCCTGTAAGAGTCAAAGAGGAGACACCTGGATCCCAAGAAATTATAGCTCCCACAGTCCCCAAGCTCGAATCCGAAGATGCCTCGATCCTAAGAATCTCTCGGATCCCCAAATCGCTAACACTAATCCCCCGTCCCTGGATCCCAAGCCCTCTCCAAACTCTCTTCCCAAACCT